TATAAACTGAAAAACGTTTTGACAATTCAAAGCAGCGAGGTGTACAACCAAATTCGAACGTACAATCGTCAACTCCGCACCACCCTTCGCGCATCTTTCTTCACTTTCAGGGCAATTTGACACTGGAAAGCAGTGTCAGAAGAAATAGTCTCTTCAACAACCAAAGCGTCGTTCAAATCTCGACTTGATAAGTACTTAGGTCTAATTGCCTCCTCTTAAGCCCTTCTGCAACACAACAAAAATCGTCCCAGGGCAGGACGATATATTGCCCCTCCAGCTTTTTCTAATTTTCTGGTTGCATCCTCCACGAATAAACAGTAAGAAACCATCAAGGACAGGGACCCTTTGCCGTCAGCCTTAAACGCAAGAGTCATTCCAAGGCTTCAAGACTACCCCTAGGATATCGAATTGTTGAACTTCTCGAAATTCATTTTCATGTAAAGCAAGGTTATTTAGGGCTCTAGCAAATAATATTTGAGTTTAGTTGGTAATTTTGAAAAACCGAGGTTGTTGCAGCAGCAAATAGCGTTCTGTGGACGTTTGTAGTAACATTATTTTCTAATTTCAACGCTTCCTCTTTGATTCATATTAAAGCTGTATTTTGTTTTATTATCCTATATAACGAGATCGTAAATGTCCTCGAATATGGCACAATTTCCGGTGAGTTGTATTGTGATATGACAGAAACCGCAACGTAGGGTTTTGAATTGGCGCTTTCTAATATTTGCCTTCTTTTGTACCATTCCAGGTCCCGCACCTAATCGATGGACGGGACCAGAAGAATTACACTATTTGGAACCCTTTTGTACCCTTTGACCCCGAACTTCAGATGCGCGTTTTAACGGACTCTCCCTCCCCCATTGATCTCTCCCTCTTGTGTTTCCTGCTGCACCGCACATGTGTCCGTGTATCGCTTCCGTGTTTCGCTCGGTTGGGACGCCGCCCTCCGAGATTCGCTAATAAACATTAGTCTCCAAGCGTTCGTTCTTGTGAACCGTGACTACTACCGACCGTGGTTGTGTGATCGCCTGTTGGAACTAACTGTTGTGCTATTGATTTCAGCTGCCTTGGATGGTCGTTCCTTGGTGTCATATTCAGAGTTCGATTATTACGTCAGAAGCAGTCTATTTTACCTGGTGGCAGCGATGGGATCCAAACAATGGAAAACTACGACCCACCCGAAATTATACAAAAATGGAAAAAGGATTTAAACATGAATCCACAACTGCCGGAAATTTGATTCGCCCTACAGTCTCCGGCCCCAAACCATTCTTCTCGGATGATGACTTCCAATTGTGGGCTTTCCTTGCTCAAACATACTGGCAACATGTTCCCCCTGAACACTTCGGACAATGCATTCTTCCCCTTTTGGACGACGACGCTGCCCGCCAGCTCCTAGCCTCGGGGACCCCTATAACGTCTACTCTTGATGAGATCTGGGCGGCCCTTCACGAACTGCTCGCCAGGCACGAATTAACACCCTTGTTCCTCGAGAAGTTCTTCGCGAGGAAGCAACTCCATACCGAATCGTTTGACCAATACGCAGCCATCCTCCGACAACTGACAACCAAAGCGTACCCAACGGCGTCTAAAGAGGAGCGCGATTCCCACATCCTGCAGCGGTTTATGGTGGGAGTCTCCGACAACATCATTAAAGCCAGATTCCTGGAAAAAGTGCCACGGAGTCTGACATCGGCACTTCACAGCGCCCGTACTCAAAAGGCATGCACAGAAGCCCCTCGGGAAACACATGACGGGACCGCTACTGCTGTTGAAGCCACTGAGACGAGACAGTCAACGTTCACCATGAGTCCACAAACACGTCCGGGGCCACAACCGGGCTGCAGATACTGCCAGAAGTTTGGAGTGCGGGCGCAGCACTGTGGCCACAACGAACCTCTACGGAGACTCGGTGGGTCTGCATACCACTCCATTGTTTTGCATTCCGTTTTGACCGATTCTATGATGTTTGGTTTGCCCCTGACTGTACGTGGAATTGTAGACGGGATGTACACTGTGATTCTAGTTGACACCGGGGCTGCGTGTTCTATCGTCTACCCAGCGGTATCGCGACCGTCGTTTTTCGGCGAGGGGCACCCTCGACTGACGGCGGCTAACGGGGCACATCTAGTTTCTATTGGTTACACAACGTGCAATGTGGTTTTGGGTGCGTTCTCGACGACACAAATTTGTAAGCGCAGAAACACCGTGGCGGGTTCTGCTGGGCATGGATTTCCTACTCAAACACAAAAGCTATAATATATCTGGCCACTGAATCACTCCACTTAGACCAATACAGGCTACCCCTCGGTCTGACGGTAGCACCACTGGTAAAAGACGAACCTGAATGGGTTGCGGAGATTTTGGCGGGTTCTGATGCCAACATGGATTCGAAACAGCAGGTCACGCAAATAGTCCACCAAATGGCAGGGGTGTTTGATATTAACCGTGAGGAATTGGCATGCACCCGTGTGCTACAACATCATATCGACACCGGAGAGAACCCACCAACATACCAACCACCGCAGAAAGTTCTAATACGCTATCAAGCGGAACTCGCGAACATGATACGGAACTTGCTCGCTCAACGTGTAATCCACCCCTCGTCGTCACCATGGGCCTCACCAATATTACTCGTGAAGAAAAAGGACGGGTTCTTGAGAATGTGGATCGATTACCGTCGGCTTAACTCAGTTACTAAGAGAGATTCTTTTCCGCTTCCGCGAATTGATGACACATTAGACGCCGTCTCAGGTGCTGCCTGGTTTTCGACCCTTGATTTAGCCGCAGGATATTGGGAGGTGGAAGTCTTTTCTGAAGATCGGTCGAAGACAGCCTTTGTGATCCCTAACGGGTTATACGAATTCGAGACCATGCCTTTCGGACTGTCTAATGCTCTAGCAACGTTCCAGAGACTGATGTATCAAATTTTGAGGGACGTCGTGCCAAAAAGCTGCCTCATTTACTTGGACGATATCATAATTCACGGCCGCACAATCGAGGAACATAACACACGTCTTCACCTAGTGTTGGAAAG